TTTTCACAATAAACCCAAAGATCAATTACTCAGCAAACAGAACAGCAAACTGGAATATAAGAGATTTCCAATAAACCAGATGACACAAAGGGCAGAATTTTTAAGGAGAACTAGGAGCTTCTCAACAATGCTTTGTAATCAAAAATCACTTTGAGTGCCACTTTCGAGGTGTTACAAACTGTGGTGATGCTGAGTGTTCAAGTGCCTGCCTTCCCACTGGAACTTGCAGGCTGAAGCTTTGGGGGCTGCCTGCACAGCACCTAGGAAAAATGAGGTATCATCTCCAGCATTCAAAAGGGCTACTTGTGCAAGGCAGATGCTGTTGTAACTAGGATATGCTGAAGAACATACTGTCATGCTTGCTAATTCACAGGCAGACAGGCATAAGCAACAACATGTTTTTGTTTTCCATCAGGTTTACATCCTATGAACATGGTTCAAATAATTCCACATATGAAAAACTCCCATGAACTTGTGGATGGCAATCAATAGGAGATATTGTATCACCTTTTGCATCTCCATCTTTTATTTACAATTAATATATTTGGATTTTATAAACTGAGTATATTCCACCCTTTTCACACTCCTCCTTTCCTACCTCCAGCTCTCCAGAGAAGTGTGCTCAAAGTACAGAGATCGCAGTCAGAATAATTTTGATAGCACAAAGGAATGTTACTGCTTTTATGGAGACATGAATTTTTAAAACATGCATTGATTGTGAATGTATTAACGTGCCTGCTGTTGATGCTACACGACTTTTAGAATGGGACAACCACTGAATAGGAAAGGCATAATAACTCAAAGCCTGCAGCCACTTGTTGTAGTAGATAGGAATGGAAGGAATTTTGTTGCAAAGAATTTTAAAAAGCCACTTGACGCAAGCGGGAAAACAAGAACATGAAATGTAAAATAGTTTTGTTCTTCCTAGGACTAGGCCTGCTGCAATCTTTACAAACTGTCCGTTTGTCATCCAATGGCATACGACAGATTGGTATGAATGATTTTCAAAACTGTTCACAGCTGAAGGACATCGACTTGCAAAACAACAAGATAACTAAAATTCATCCAGACGCCTTCAGGGATCTCAACAAATTACAGGTTGTAAAGCAGTACTACAACTGTTCCAATGTTTTGTGTTAATCACCATTAAAGATATTAATTATCAACTACTCAGCATGATTATATTGGTCTTTGATTATTATATTAGTATACAATTATAAAAACTAAAGCAAATGGTGAAAATAATCATTATTTTTATAAAATATAGATTTGCTTTTCATATGTAGGAACACACACACAGAGTTGTAAATAGACAAAATATAACCATAAATTCACCATTTTTCTATGCCACAAAGCAATTTATAACTGGCTTAAACAGACACGCGTCCTTTACTACCCCATATCTTCCATGGCAAGAGCCCTGCGGCTTCCCATTCGCACAGAGGTAGTCTACAACGGGACAATTCTAAGTATACCACAATTTAAGTTTTTCATTTAAATTAAAAAGCTTAGAACAATATTCTTGACATCCTAACCAGATGCATTTTCCAGTAACTGCAGAAGTGCTTGTATACTAAATAAATGTTATTGTTGATATTGCAATTAGGATTCCATTGTAAGGCTTATCAAACGAATTCTGAATTATTTCCAAACAGGTCGTGGATCTCCGTGAAAATGCTCTGACAACCCCTTTACCACAGATATTAATCAGTATGAACTTCTTTCAGCTTGAAGTGGGTTTGTCAAATAACGCCTGGATCTTTAACTGCAGACTAAATGCTTTCAAACATTTATTTAATTTTCTTTTTGACTCCACGAAGAAAAAATGGAGTATTTCATACAAGAAATCTGCCAACAACTCACAGAAACCTCTGCTGTATCTTTCAAGTTTCCATTTAAACTGCAGCAACAGCGTTTTGCTCAAGAGGGCTGTAATCCCAGCAGGGAAGACATTGGTGCTAAACTGTGACGTGGACAACACAAGAGGTATGTAAACCAGGGACGGTCTCCATATGCTGCTAAAATCCAAATGCATGCAGAACGATCAAAGAAATCTGGTTTTAAAAGCAGATTTCTGAAGATACTGTTTAAAAATAACTGAACAACAACTTAAATGTGCAAATTATTTCATTAGAAAGTAGGATACTGGTTAGAATGTTTGAAAGTCATGTTTCTTAAAAAGACTCTTCATCTCCTTCCTTACATTAAACTAATAAGCGATGCCAAATTACACACAAATACATTTCAATAAGTAGTACATTGCAAATTTATCAGTTAATTTTGGAATGCAAACAAAGGACTAAATAGTGGGGTGGCACTTCCAGGGCACATAGAAAACTGAGGACATAATAGTGTTTCCAGTATTCGGTTATAACAAAATGAAATCAAAGTTTATTTGCAAGGGAAAGGATTTATATTTCTTCTAAAAAAGTATAGCTACCGTAGCACAGTTTGCTTAGGAAATGAATTCAGCATTTACAATTAATACAGAGCACTTCAAGTCCAAGTGACAAAATCTACAGAACTAAGACTTCCCACGCAGAAGGAAAACTAAGACCAAACTTAGAGTAGAAGGTGTATTTGTCATGTGCCATAAGGCAAAATGGTTTAACTCTAATGGACTAATAGCGCTGCGAGGTGGTAAGGCTTTCCCTTTGGAACACTTTATCCCCAAATGAAAATATGTAGGGTCTATCAGAAATGCCACCTGATTTGTCTATTAACAAGGAAAGTCATGGAAACTCTGGTCATGGGATTAAATTCAACACACTGGATTGCACCAGAACTCAGCTGGGAACACGAGCAGATCCAAAGGCAAAGGTATACATACGACCTTGAAACATATTCCAAAAGCGAACAACCAGCCATGGCCTCCACTAGGCTTAAGTTTGGAACAATTGCTCGGTAGATACAAATATCCTTGGTTTTCAAACCTTTTTGCTGCAGCCAAAGCAGTAACTACAGGAAAATCACAGTGGTTGAAACATCAACAGTTAACTAGTGAAGTTTTATCTCATAACTGCATGTGGTGGCAATGGCAACGCTGGAGAACGGCTGGCTATACACATGGTCTTCCACGAGGGAGATCAGCAGGTGTTTCTAGTATGACCCAGAACATACCTAGATAATTTCAGTGACCTCCTCCCTCAGCCACACCATTTTTCTTGCAAAGTCTGCTATTAAGACCCCATACATACTGTGTTTTAAATGTGGGGGGAAATATATGATGGTTTAACAGATACTTGGTACCATGTAAAATTACTACAGATAGATAAAAAGAAAACTGATTTTATAATAAGTAGTTAAAACTGTCAAGGATAGATCAGAGTATGTTCTTATAGAAATAACTTGACCCTGCAAACCAAGTATCCTATACTTTTAAGAAAGATTTAGTTTGTATTTTTTTTTATTTCAGGTAATGGAGTCTCTTGGTGGACACCTAAAGGCAGAATTTCAAAAGATAACAGTCTTCCTCATATGACACTGGATAAAATGAATAACTTAGTGATACACAATGCTGAGAAAACTGCTGGAGGGTTATATTTGTGTATTTTTAATACAACAAAGAAGAAATATCTCATCTACAACATACAGGTGAAAGAAAGGGTATCAACATCTCTGGTTAGAAAAGCCCGGGACACTAACACTGTTTTTAGACAAGGAAGAACAGAGCAGGACCTTACATTAGCTGTCTGCCTCTCGGTGCTCATTACGTTTGTTTGTGCTTTTTGTCTGGGTGCTTTTGCTAGACCCTACCTTGTGAGCCTGTGGAGACTCATGTGCAAGAACAAAAATTCAGGTTCAGAACATACTTATTCTAATCAAGCTTTTTCAGATGAAACCTTGAGCAGAGAGTGCTCTGCAAGCAAACCAACAAATACGCAGCATAATTTGTTCATTTGTGATGAGAATTCTTCAAGAAACACATGCGTTTTTCCTACAGAAACTTCTACTTCACATGAAAATGTCATTGGTAGCAGTGTACATGCACCAAATACTGAAGAAGAGTACCAGAAACAAAGCAATAATGAGATTAATGTGAAGAAAACAACAGTGTTTTCAGGCATCAAAACTAGTATCGGCAATGATAGAAACGTAAGTGTTGATGATAATGGACTATTTTCAGTAGGGACAGATTACAATAACAGCAATGAAGTAAAGCCAAGAAAATTAATGAGTAATAACATTTCATTACGGAAACATTCAAAATACACAAATAAAGACTCAGACAAGAGCAGGTTCCCTCCCGTAGCCAGGAGATCGAATGCTGACTCTTACTCAAATCACACTGACTCTTCGGATTCGGATTTATCCTTCACGGGAGAAACTGGCTTTCCGTTTTCCACAATACAAACACATACAGTTGAACAAGATTCTAGGAACAGCAAGGTAAGCAACAACTCTGGTCTGCTGCAGTCTGAAATCGCGAAGGCTACACCAGATTCTCCCGAAAGAAAAGATATCATTTCACATAATGAACCCATGAGCACTACAAAATTTCTGCCTGGAAGGCAAAGCTGCGATGAACAACTTGGTCTAAACAGCAACATAAATACAACCAGTGATGTGGGAGATTTTATTTTACCCAGTAGCTGCAAGAGAGATACAAATATTGAGAATTTAAGTGCCTACCAAGCAATAGAAAACTCTCCTCTTACAGAGTATGACTGTAAAACGGAGTGTACAAATAAAAAAGATGCTTCAGCAGATATATGTGTTGATAGTTCTTCAGATGAAGGGACTCCATTCACAATGAGTGACTGTAGTTCTTTAGCAGACTTTGAACTGGAACAACCCGATGTCAGTGACAACCTGCCAGTCTGTCAGTCGTCACTAGAGGAAGCCGATAAGAACAGCGGAACTGAGAAGTTCGCAACGCTGCCAGAGTCTCCAAACATTGCTGCTGAACTTCAGCATATTGGGAAAAATGAAGATGAGAACAATGCGTATTTTGACCCCACTATTAACTATGGATCAGGTACCATCACGCCTGAAACAGCATCACCTTACGCTGATAAATTTGGTGACCATGCAAGCATGACAGATTCAGACACAGTTAGTTCTTCAAGTCAAGAAGTTCCTGATACGTTTGATTATTTTCCTAATGCAGAGTCAACAGCACAAAACTCTATTTCTGATTCTCTCCACAATCAAAGTACAGATTTTGGCTATACGTTACTTTCATTAAAACATTCTCCCACGTATGACACAGATGCAGAAAATACTCCTGAAGAGGCTGAACTGCAGCTGTATCGGTTTCCCATCGAACCACAGCATTCCCTCAGCTTCAGTCCCACTGAACAAAAAGAAAATGCACCAGATGGAAGTGCAGATGAGCACATAGGTAGCAACTCCTCCAAGAAGAATCATGGTGAAGGGGACACTGCCTTAAGAAGAAACATGAGTACATCTGAGGACAATGATTTTATTTTTGCTCCCATTGATATTGATTTGAATGAAATTATTAGAACATCGCTACCGCATTCCAGCAGCGAATCATCTCTTCAATCTCTGCCTGAACACACAGCTGAAAAACATTTTACAGTTATTACAGAGAAAGACAACTTGCTACCACAGGGGACGCAGCTGAACACAACTAAGGCTTGTGCAGATAAAATGCAAAGAGGTTTTAATGAGAAAGACTGTGATGAATACACAGAATTACAGGATACCAACAACTGTAGCCTCCCCAAAGAAACACAGTCTTGCAATCTTACGGCAGATTTGCTGCATCTTCACTCCTCTGGGAAAACACTATCAGTCTTCAACACAGAGGATCATTTCCAACTGGATCAGAGTGACAAGGATGCATATTCCTTCTCAGTCCCACAAGACTTCTTCAGTGAAAGCACACGATACAGTTTATGTTCATTCCCACAAAAGACTACAGGAAATAAAATTTCCGAAAGCACTGATTCCAGCAAGGCGGAAGAGGACACTACTTTGGCAGGACTGGAGAACAATCCTACAACAGTTGTTGACCTCCAAAATTCAAGTGAAAACTTCAGTCAAAAGAGTCAGACCAATTTAGGAAAGGGCCAGGTTTTTGTTAAGAAGAAAAGAGCGTTTGATGGATTTGTTAATGTTTTGCAAAGCAGGAGAACAAACTTCAATAGTTGAGACACAAAAGTGTAATACTAAGCTCCCAGTGTTTATGTCATATAGTAGGTGCAAAAATGATTGTGTCTTAAAATGAAGTGTGTAGCTTTTAATAACTGTTAAATACCATGGGTTGGTTTTGGTTTGGGTGTCATCAGCTTTTGTTGAGTAATAATAATAATATATATTTAATTTCTTATTATTGTTGGTGCTAAGATATGTTTCCCTTAGAATTTGCCTCTGATATGCACTGGTTTGTTTCTCTTTGTCTAAAATAAATGTAATGCTGAAATTATCATTACATTATTACTATTACTGTGTTATCATGTGGAACTCACCCTATACAGTGAAATAGTACATATTACCCTCTTCTGCTTTTTGAACCAAATTTGTGGATTAAGCATCTGAATTCCCACAGTTTTGCAAAGATAGGTAAAGTCCAAGCAGTATTCAATTACATTTTCAAAATTACTTTTTACCTTGGCAAGACAGAGTAATGAAACCCTTCTTTCTCAAAGAAACAGAAGAGAATTCAAACCTTGCAGAGAAATCAGTTATGGAGATCTATGGAGATCACCTGTAGTTTGCAGATGTAATGACATGGGCAGGGTAATTTAAAAAAAGACATCCTACTATTACTAAGCCATAATTCCCTATAAAAAAGGATCCTATACCCACTTCAGAATTTTACGGAGAGGGCCAAACCAAGAGCAGCTCAAAACTGCCGTATTAGAATACCAATAGCTTGATATACAGTAACTTTTTCTAAGCCAAAAGATAGCAAATGTAAGACAAAATTTTCTCTGAATATGGCCCAAGGCCCTCTTAACATACACAGTATCATTGATGTAGTCCTTGAAGGGGAATGTCCTCACGAAGGGCAACAGGACCAGGTTCCCAGAAAATGCAGAAGGCTGGCCAGCAACTCCAGGAAAACTCTGTTATGAAGACAAAATTAATTCACTAAAAACTCCAAACAGAAGGAACGCACTTCAGTTCCATCAGATGAGGAGCAAGTCCAATGGCACAGTACATCTTTGAAACTATCTTTAAAGAGTAAGCTAGGAAAGAACAAAGAGATGCTGACAGAAGCTAATAATTATTGTTAGCGTCACGTACTTGGAACTAAAAAACAGAAAGTATTGCAAAAAACTTAAGAGGCATAAAAGCAATTGAAGGAGACCAGTACTCATATTATTTGATCTTTTGAAAATTATTTTCTTTAGTGCCTTGAGTTCCTTTTAAATAATTGTTTAACACATCCAGCATCGCAATTATCAGTTATATATTTACTGAGCCAAGTCACCTATGCTTAGATCTCCTATTGGTTTGTTTTGGGTTTTTTTTCTGGCTGATTTTCTCAAAATCTCTAACATAACTCAGAACAGATTATATGGCAGTTTCAGGGAGGTGTTGCATGGATTAGATTTAGGTCACCACAGTATCTGCAAATAACTGCACTCAATAACATCTGTAATTCAATTCTAAGCAATGAATCTGCTGTCATTCATGCAGATCTTCTTGCTTTCCAATTAGTTCTTGGAAGATTTCTGTTTTGCTCCAGTACTCAGTGATATCTAAACGGATAACTAAGAAATTTTTTTAAGAGCAGATACTGGCTTCATTCCTTCAGTAGGAGTCTGCTCAGGAACCAAGGATGAAATAATTTTCTGAAGAAATCGATAATTGTCATTAAATTATTCATGAGTTTAAGGGTCTGATTTTGTTTTCTGTTTTCCAAACACAGGAAAAAATTTTACACATTTAACTGTCCAGAATTGTTCACACAGTCTGAGTTAGACAAGTAGTAAATGACAAAACACTCAAATCTGCAAAAATCACAGCATTCCCAGAAATGTTAAAAATACAGTAACTTTACAATAAAGTGTTTCCCAATACAACTCCTTCCTCAATTGTGTGTCTATAAATGTTATACCCTGTTCTACTGCAATTTTTCTCTCCTAATCCCCACAGTCTCAATACTCATGTAATGCCTTGGCTTCTACTGAATTTAAGGCTGCTGCTCTCAGAGAACAGTGTGTGAGATAAAAACCAGTTGTGTTTTTAGAGGCTGTCTAGAAGGAAAGAACTGTGTAATTTGAGTGTGATTCCTCATAGAACAGCTACGTAGCTACTAGAAGCACAAAACAGAACAGCATTTCCTCACCACCAGCGCTTTTCTTCGCACCCATAACAGCTTTCAGTAAAGCTCATTATACACAGAAGTTACTTGTGGTCAAAGCAACTTTAAAAATGGAATACATAAAAAAGTGCAGACTTGCTCTGTATGGTGCATATGAGTCTTTGTGGAGTAATTGCTGGAGGTGACTTGGACAATAGACTTAGATTTACGATTTCAAGAAAGGCACAGCATTTGAAGAAGCAACGTGGGTGGTATGCAGCTGGAATTGATCCCACAGGAAGTTCCCTAAGCCTGTAATCTTGGATGTTGCAACCCAGGGGAGCCTGGTGTGCTGATTCGAAGAGGAACTGCCCAGGGGGTGGAGTGGTGTGGAGACATCACGGCCAAGCCCTGTGATAAGGGAACTTGGAGGGGCACCATGGCACTGATAAGCTGCATAAGTGATACCCGGAGGCAACAAACTAGCATGAGGTTGACAAAATGCTGTCCTTTAGTAACCTTTACTCATTATAATGCCATTATAATACCAAAACACACCTCCATCCCAAAACCTACCCACCTCCAAGGTGAGACCGCTCCTCACTGAGCCTGCGCTCTGAGTTTTTCTGAGCCTATACCTTTAAAACGAAGTGAGAAAACTTTACACCAATTGTAACAAAGTATGTATGACTAGAGTCCCTCAAGCTCCACCTGAAAGGTAAAAAATAACATAAATTAGCCTAAAGAGAGAGGGGATGTTAGGGAAGATACCATCGTGTACTACCTCTGACCTCTGGGATCAGCTGACGGGCTGAGCCTCTCTTCCCCCCCATGGGGACGCCTTTGGGTAAGAATCTAACACTTGGTTATACCAAGCACCTCCCTGGGAAACTTAGAAACCTCTATAGAGTCACTTTTATGTCTTTTGATGCATCTGTAATGTCCAAAGCTTTGGTATTTGCATGTGCCTTGCAGTCAGT